GCCTTAGGGCCTGGTTAAGAGCATATAATTCACAGGTTTGGGCTGAACAATTATTGAGTAATCTACCTTTTTCACATAAGGATCGTTTGTTTCCATCAGTGACAGCATAGCCATCTACCTGTATTACACAAGTCTTTTGCCATCTGTTACTCAAGATGATACGTGCACAAATAGCCATATTCCATTATGTAGTGGAGTTTTTTTAAGGTCTGATTCAACTTTAGTTTGATATTCTATGATATCTAAACAGTTAGAGTCTGATGCCTTCTTATTCTCCTCTCCTTACCATAAGAAACTAGCTGGAGTTAGGTTAGGCACTTCCCCAGAGCCCATTGACCCCAGGAAGAACTTGGGGAAGCATGGGACTGCCCAGCTGGCCCCACAGGGTGCCTTTGGCCAGGCCCTGCTGGGTCTGGCGCTGGGCCAAGAGCTGCCGGTTTGAAGAGCTGCCAGCCTGTGGTGCCTTTCCTGAGGGGCACTTTCATTAGCACAGGCATCCCTGGCTCTGCCCTTACTTCCTCTTTCTTCGCTTTGAAGACACCATTCCTCTCCTTGGCAGGCCGGGAGCTCCACCATTTGTATTCCTTGCCACCCCTGCTGGTGATCCAGCAACTGCAAAGGGTCTTTGGTTTCCTTTACTCTGGGAGGGGACTTAGTGACTTTTCCTCCTCCTCTGCTGCAAGGATCTTCCCTAGCCCAGCAACGCTCTGGGAAACAGAACTTTAATGCACCCCACTTCAAAGGTTCTTGGCAGACTTCTCCCCAGCACGAGTTCTACTTCAGGGATTGTAAACTGGCATCCTCTTTTGTTTGTATTGAGTTTTTAAGTTTTTCTACTGATTACCAGCACTTAAAAATCCCGTTTTACATAAAAAGTTAGAATTCTGGCCTCTGACAAAGCAGACAATTTGGCAAAACAGGGTCGGCACTGTAAAAACAGCTGAGCAGCTATGGCCCCTTTAACAGAGTGCACCTTCCTCAGTTAGCTACAGTCCCCAGCCAGCCCTGCAACCCTCCTTCTCATCATTTGCTGGCCCTGTAGTTATTTGAGTTTACAACCCTAGTTTTGATCTTTCTTATGTTGCCCCCCAGCCCTTCTGAAGCCTTACTGACAGCTGACCCTGGTGGACTTATAGCCTCTCAGTAAAACAACAACAAAACCTTAATGGTCATTTCATCCATTTACCCTTCCATAACCTGAATCCTTTCTACTGCCTTCTGACAGCCAGCCAGCTAGTCTTTCCTCCTGCTCCTGAACTCTCCTCCACATCCCTTTCTCACTTGCATCACCAAGTTCCTGGGCTTTTTCCATCTGCAGTGTCCACACTGTACCCTTTCCCTGTACCTCCTTGTTGCTTGAGCCTCTAGAACCTTCCCCGAGCCCTAGCAACCTCTCCACATCCTCTGATTTCCCCTTGTACTCTTTTTTTTTTTTGACAGAGTCACACTGTCGCCCAGGCTGGAGTGCAATGATGCGATCTCAGCTCACTGCAACCTCCGCCTCCAGGATTCACGCAATTCTCCTGCCTCAGCCTCCTGAGTAAGTGGGATTATAGGTGCAGACCACCACACCTGGCTAATATTTTAAATATTTTTAGTAGAGATGGGGTTTCACTATGTTGGCCAGATTGGTCTTGAGCTCCTGACCTCCTGATCTGCCTGCCTTGGCCTCCCAAAGAACCGGGATTACAGGTGTGAGCCATTGTGCCTGGCCTCCTCTTCTATTCTTTCTTCCTTTTACATTATTTCTCTCCCCAGTCTTATCTTTTGTATCTCTCTTTGATCTTTGTCTTTTCCAGTCTCTCTCTCGCTCATTTTCTTCTGTCTCTCTCTGTCTGACATCCCCTATTTCCTTTTTCCCTCACACTCAGTTTTTTTCTTTTTCTCTGCATGAGCTGACCTGTCCAGTGCTCTGGCTCCTCCACGTCTGACAGACAGCTCCGACTCTTTCTCTGGGCACCACCATGCCTGCACAGTGTCTTACACTGCCTGCCCTGTCTCAGCTGCTTAGTCCAGCAGCTCCCACACACACAGCTGTGCCCTGGGCTTTCCCTTGCCTTCAGGGTCAGCAGCTTAACTCTTTCTCTCTCTGGCCCTCTGCGTTTGCCGTTTCCTCCCCTTTCTCTTTCCAATCTCCTTTCTTTTTCTGTTTATCCCTTTCTTCTTACAAAAACCTTCTGAGCTTCCCTTAGTGATTCCTTAATTGGTTTTTCATTTCATCCACTAATCTTTTGCAGTTTCTTCGTAATATCAGGCAAGCTTTTAGTCACAAAATTAATCTTTAAAAGGCCTTTCCCTACTGGGTCCTCTGGATTTAATGCTGAATATTTTCTCATTTGATCCCTGAGCTTCTGCAGGAACACAGAGGGAGTCTGTTTTGTTGTTGTTGAATCTCAAATGCTTTCGAGACATTTTGTGTCCTAGGAGTGGACTTTTTAATCCCTTTAATGATTAGTTTCCTTAGGTTCTGCATTTGGGCCCAATCTCTGCGGTTATTGTTATCCCATCTGGGATTTGCATTTGGGAATTTCTGCTCAGTTGGCAGGAATTCTTGCCTGGGAGGATGCTGTCTTTCCCAAATGGTTATGGCTGCCCTTCTAATTATTCTCCTCTCTTCCCCAGTAAACAGAATGTTCATGATTGACATCATCTCAGCTTAAGTATAAAAATTGGGTCCTGAAAATTGATCTAGCTACTCTGCTAAACCAAGGGGATCTTCCAAGAGTGGCCTCATTTCCTTTTTAAATTCCTAACCTCAGTGCTTATTAGAGGTGCACTCACAAACCCAACTCCTCCCTGTCCCATAGAGACTTCTCTAAGAGAGTACATATTAGACTCCTGCTGTTTAGAAGAAATAGGGAAATTTTTAATGTCCTTTTTACTTTGCTCTAATTCTTTCCTCAAGTTTGGATAAGGAATTAAGGGAGCATTGGGCTTAGCTTCTTCGTGACCCCCAGATTCCTCTTTCTCTGACCTTCCCATTGCCTCCTGATCTCACCCTGTCCTCTGCTCTGTGAGATGTGGCAGGAGGGCAGTGTATTAGGGGATTTCAGGGCTTTTCACTGGGCAAGGGCCCTTTCCTGTGTTAACATGGGGTTAATTCACTAATAAAACAAAGAACATAATCCATGTCCTCTTGTGAGGTTGGGGTTTTATCATTCACATAGAGAGTTAAAGCTTGGCACACCCAATCCTTATCTGAGCTAAACTTAGGCCAGAAGTCCGAAGGCTCACAAATGGGCTTTTTGGGCCAGGTAAAACAATACTTTATCATCTTTTGCTTTTCTTTTTCCCTGGTTTGAGGATTATCCCTTCAAACTATCTGGGAGAATGTCAGAGGGGATCTGTTTAGTTGCCTCTTTTCTTTGTTCCTAAGGCCTAGAGTTCCTGTTGCCCATCTTTGGTTAGTCTCTGTGCCTGAGGTTTTCCCTGTGTACTCAGCCCTCCTTACTGGAAGTTTCTTGCATACCCTGAGACCACTGAAAAGGCCCAACCACCAAGGCAGTACTTATAGACCAGTTTTCCTACCTTGGCTCGTGCATGATGTTGCTTGGTTGCCATGGTGCCTGCTTTTCTCCCTGTGTCCCCTCTACTGCCTCCTGAATAACAGTCTCAGGTTTGTCTGTGGCTGCTTCTTGGAGTCAAAACATCCAGACAGAGCAGGCCACATAACTCAAGTGGGACGCGTCTCCCTTCTCTGCTGGAGTCTCACTCCATGCAGGCACAGAGATCCGCATACAGGCCACCAAGTTGTGAGAAACAGCTCACGCGTCCAAACCCACAGAATGGACTCATGAGACCTGAATAATAGCGAAAGTGAGATTTTTAATGACAGTCTTGCAAGATGGGGTGTCTGGTGTGTAGGCACACCCAGCACAGTAGGTTGTTTGTTTTTGAGACGGAGTTTCATTCTTGTTGCCCAGGCTGGAGTGCAATGGCGTGATCTCGGCTCACCACAACCTTTGCCTCCCGGGTTCAAGCGATTCCCCTGCTTCAGCCTCCTGAGTAGCTGTGATTACAGGCATGCACCACCACACCCGGCTAATTTTGTATGTTTAGTAGAGACGGGGTTTCTCCATGTTGGTCAGGCTGGTCCTGAACTCCCGACCTCAGGTGATCCACCTGCCTTGGCCTCACAAAGTGCTGGGATTACAGGCATGAGCCACCGCACCTGGCCCCACCACAGTTTTAACAAATAATTTATCCCTTAGTGCGTAGGTCCCTCCCCTGGTTCCTTATAGGCTGAGTACTATGGAGTTACAATCTTCCCAGACATCACCTATTGATTGTTAGGCAGGGCTATAGGCGTTTCTTTTAGGATTGTCTTGCTGCATTTTGTTGCGGCCCATGATGGCATTGCAATCCTAGTTAGCTCAGGGACTCTTCAAGTATTTGACTTAAGACCTAAGTAGCTGGGCAGGCTGATAAGAACAGACAAAGTGAGCTATTTTGCAGACTAGTAAACTTTTATCTTAGGCTAAACTTCTTTGGTTCAGGTGAGAGCAACTAAGTGGGGTGAAGGGGGAGGAAGTGGGGGACTAACAAGCAGGCATTGGCTATCCAAGCAGGGGCCTAGTATATCTTGTTTCTTCTGTAGTTTACTGACCTCAGCCAATTCAAGGTACTCTTGAAAATGGACCACTGTATACGTTATCGCCTTCACTCCATGAATATGATTGGTGTGTAAGGCGTGTATTAATTTTATTTGAGTGTAATTGCTGTTAGCTGGTTGGGATAATAATTTATGCTAGGCAAACTACAAATATGGATTTATTACTTTAGTCACAGGTACAGAATTTATTCCATTTGTAGAATGATGTTTTGTTTTTGTAGATTAGAAAACTTTTGTTCAGTGCTTTGGCAGAATTAAGCTAGGGTATAATCTTTTATGAGATTTTGGCATATTTTAATACTATTTACATAGACACTCAGCTCATTTGTTATATGGACAATAAAGGAACTATTGGACTAACAGTAGTAAATTTTTTTTCCCCCAAAAGGTAATTAATAAAATGTCTCCAACATCTCTAAAGATCACACTAAGGCAACTCATCGAGGGGTCTTCAAAGACCTTGCAAGAAGTACTAACTATGGAGTATCGGCTGAGTCAAGCTTGTATGGTAAGAATTAAATTAAAAAATTATTGTCATTTTTTAGTTCTGAAAGTAACATATGTTTATGGTAGAACTTGTAAAATATACCAAGCGCAAACAGGAAAACTAAATTCACATGTAAATTTGCTCTACAAAAATACAACAGGCCAGTTAGCTTTAGAGGTATGGAAGTATTGCTATCCAGATTGTTATTAAGCCTTTACAAAATAGGAATTACATTTGCATGTTAGTGTAAGAAGCTTGCTAACCTCAGAAAAATTCAAAATAGAAATTCGTGTCTTTCAGAGATAGTCTCTGTGGCCTTGGGCAAGACATGTAAACTCTGTAAATGTGAATTCCCTCATTGGTAAAATGAAGGGGATTATTTGTAAGCATTTATATATAAAGTAAATGCACAAATGGAGGTTATTAGTCTGTTACATGTTTTAAATAATGAGCATTACGAAAGTACCATTGTAAACATAAAGTGGACAACAATCACATGGAATATTGATTTCATGAAACATTTCATATTTATATTTATTCTTTCAGATGACAAACTCTTTTAAGAAAGAATCATTCTTTATGTTCAGAGGGCCCTTAAGAGGCATCTTATTATTTAGACTAATATATGGACTAAAGGGAATATTTGGCTTAATAGCCAGAAAGCAGACATTCCTAATGACTTTAATGTAATAGTTATTAAGATGTTTGTCCAGGTGTGGTGGCGTACGCCTGTAATCCCAGCACTTTGGGAGGCCGAGGCTGGTGGATCAGAAGGTCAAGAGACCCAGACTATCCTGGCCAGCATGGTGAAACCCTGTCTCTACTAAAAATACAAAAAAATCAGCTGGGTGTGGTGGCACGCGCCTGTAGTCCCAGCTACGCACAAGGCTGAGGCAGGAGAATCGCTCCAACCTGGGAGGCGGAGGTTCCAGTGGGCTGAGATCGCACCACCGTACTCCAGCCTGGTGATAGCAAGACTGCGTCTAAAAAAAAAGATGTTCAAAAGATGTTCAAAGTAGTTCATCTAGTTAGAAATAACTCTATTAGCCATGTCTTCAAGTCACTTCTTGTGGGATATAAATGGTAGCCGATGTCTATTGTTTAATACGTGCAGGTACTACACTAGGCACTTTATATGCATTCTTTCTGTTAAATCTTATGGTATCTCTACGAGGATAGGTACTGTGTGGCATAATGACGTAACCTGCCTTAGGTTGTCCCACTATTAAGTGCAGAGATATGGCATATGAAACCAGGCAGTCTTACTCTGGTGCCTACACTCTTGACCACTGTCCTGTATACTTCACACATTCCATGTTTTTCATTGAACTTTTAGTACATTGCCTAGATTGATTGATTCCTGCCTTCATTCTCTCAGCAAATATGTTAGCTATGTGCCAGGCACTATGCTCAGTGTTAGGCTTAGGCTGTTGAATAAGAAGACATGGTCCTTTATTTTCATGGAGTTTAGTCTACTGAGACTATAAAGAACAAGTAAACAAAATAAGTGAAATAATTATAAATTGTACTAAGTATGCTAAAAGAAAACATACAGGGTTGGTGATAGAAGAGATTGATGCAGGGACAGGAGGGAGTTGGGGGGCAATGGGACACCTGCTTTAAGTAAGTAGGTCAGGGAAGACATCTTTGTGATGTCACTTCATTGTGACCTGAAGAATGAGAAAGGAGTATGTTGAGAAGTCTCTTGGGCTTAAGCAGGGGGTGATTTGATTTTTCATTTGATTTGATTCACTTTGCTTTAAGAAGGAAATTATTGTTGCTAAGTAGGCTCAGGGTTCGAGGGGTTCAAGAACGGTTTAGAGACCAGATATAAATGTCCTGCACTGATGCAGGTGTGAAATAGCAGTGCTTAGACAAGCATGGTGGCAATGAAGAGAAGTAAATGCATTTGAGACACATGTGGGAGATAGAATTGATAGGACTTGATGGATGTGAGGGAAGGAATGCATTTAGGAGTTAGAGCTTAGAGGATCAGAGATTCAAATGTGACAGACACCAACAGCAATTAAAAAGACCTTGAAGATGCATTATTTACTAAGCAAGAGTGCTTACTATGTGGTAGGCACTGTTAGAGGTACCCAGGTGCATAGGTTCCACATACCTAGGTATGCTCCAGGGATAGAGGTTGAAAAGGCAGAAAACAGTTTAAATCATTATCTTGGGGAATAGAGTAGGATAACAGACAAAATCCCTGCCTTGATGGAACTTAGTTATAATGGGGAAATAGACTGTAAATTAGATTAATACATAAAATATAATATGGTTATTAAGGAGAAAAAATAAAGGAAGCAGAATATGTGATATAGGGTAACAGGGGGATGAATTATAGGTAGGGTGACCAGATCAGCCCTCACTGAGATGTTATTTGAGGGAATTCCTGAAAGAAATGAGGAAGTGAGCCATACAATTATCTGAGGAAGAGCATCCCAGGCAGAGGGAACTGCAAGAACAAAGCTCTGATGCAGGAGCATGAGGCTGTGTGGAGGGGGATGGGGGGTAGCGGTGGTGGTGAGTGAGAGATAAGGCCAGAGGGAACACTGTAGAGAAAGGCTGTGCAGAACATTACAGAGCCTTGATGGTCTCTATAATGACTTTGGCCGAGTAAAATGGGAAGCCACTAGATGATTATGAGCAGAGGAATGCCATGATCTTATACTTTAAAGAACTGATTACTCAGGCTGCTATGTTGAGCACTGAATGGATAAGATCACATAGAAAGAAAATGGGAGTCCGGACCTGAGCCCTAAGGAACACTGACATTTTGAGGTGTGGTAGAGAAAGAGCAGTAGGAAGGAAAAAGAGATGGAGAGGCAGGAGGACCAGAAGAGTGTGGTGTCACGAAAGAGTGGAACGTTTGAGGGAGGAGGGTGTAATGGACAGTGTCAAACACTGCCAAAGTGTAGATGAGGTTAGAAGTGTCATTTGACGTTGGCGTTGCTGACATCATGGGTGGTTTTGGCAAGCCATTTTAGAGGAGTGGGGGCAGAAGTTAGAGTGCAGTAAGTTGGAGAGGAAAAATGGGATGTGAAGAAGTGGAGAGAATATGTGTAGACAAATATTCTTGAAAGACAAATAGGATAGAAGCTGAGACTGTGGAATCAAGTGAGTTTCCTTTTTATTTTGTAAAATGGAAGGTACTAGAACATGTTTAAAAATGATTGGGAATGATCCAATAGAGAAAAAAGATTACGTTGATGATACGAATGGTAGTTAACATTTACTGAACTCTTAGTGTCAGACACTGTGCTTGGATATAGATTAAAATAATCCTAGGATGGATGTATAGATTACCTTTTCATGTAAGGAAATTAGGAGTTGGAGAAATTACTAGTCCAAGGTCACAAAGTTAATATGTAGTCGAATCAGGATGTGAACCTAGACGTAAATGAACTGCATGCATTTAGCCACTCAATTATATTGCCTACATTGATGATTCTAGAAAAAGAAAAGTGAGTGACCACATCAAGCAAAGTCTATCCTTGAGAAGGCAAGAGGGGATGTGAATTGGAATGCAAGGGAGGACTGGGAAGGTATATGCAGATAGCCGCAGTTGCCTGCAGACGTTTTAGTGCTCTCGGATGACAAGATTTCCCATCTAAGGGCTTCTTGTTTTTTTATAGAAGTCAGAGGTTAAGTAATTGACTGAGACTTAATAAGAGTGTGCGCTACGGGTAGAGGTTGAGAAGGCAGAAAACACTTTAAATCATTATCTTGGGGAGTAGGGAAGAGACCTTGGATTGTTCGGCAGTTTTCTGTGCTCATTTGAGATTTTTGATCATGAATTTTAAATGAAAGCAGTCACGGTTGTACAATTTTCTGCAGCAAGACGTAGCTGCTGAAGTACAGGCAAGGGGTACATTGTGGGGTTTAGTTGGTGCCAAGATTTTGCTAGGTTTCTATAAAAGAGAAAAAGATGTGAGGGAGATGACAGCATTTTGAAAGGAAAGTGATCATTTTAAAGGACTGGTAAAATTGGGCTGCATGAAGAGCAAAGTGAAGCCAGCGCAGATAGGGAGAAACTCATAGGATCAGGGGACCTCAGTAAGATCAAGGATTTGTAGCAGTGGAGATACTGGAGCAAATAAGATTAGGAGGTAGCGATCAGAGAGTGTGCTGTCAGACATGGTTCAGTCCCTAAACATCATGGTTCAGATTGTGGCCATGGGAGTGGAAGGCTGAAGTGAATAGAGGAGAGAGAAGATCGCCCAGAATAATGACACCCAAAAATTATCCCCATTTAATCTCAATTTTCTTTCAGAGAGGTCATGACTTTCATGAAGGCGTCAGAGCTGGTAAGTAGCAAATGGGAACTTACCATTTTGGGGAAATGAGATTTGTGATCATATGCTGTTAATTAAATAAGATACAGATTGTGTACCCCAAATCCTAAAATCCAAAATGTACCAAAATCTGAAACTTTTTGAGCACCAACATGACTCTCAGAGGAATTGTTCATTGGATTGTAAGTATAATGCAAATATTCCAAAATCTGAAAAAAAAAAAAAAAAAAAAAATCTCAAACCTGAAACACTTGTGATCCCAAGCATTTCAGATACAGAATACTCAACCCAAAGTTGTTTTAGTAGTGAAAATTAAACTTTTGTAAAGATTGTAAAATTGTGTATGTTTTTAAAAAATATTACCATCTGGGATGTGAAAAGGAAGATCAGTCTTGAAACTGATATTGTTTTAAAAATAGACATAACTTGGCAACTGCTCTCTAATTTATATATAAGGTAATCCTGTACCTATACTCATGTACTACCTCTGATAAGTGCATCACTAAGTTTGTAAACTCATCCTGCTGCTGTGGACTTTAAAACATGCATTTATTCCCTTACAAAAAGCCCTCAAGTCCCCTGCCTTTCTCCCTCTTTTGTACTGGCCTGGCAAAATTGACCAGTGATGTAACCCTACTTTCCATCTTCTTGCCTGTACTTGAGCAGTTAAACATTGCTGGGGAAAAAGACCATATGACATCATTGGTAACATCTGCAGATTTTCTTATTAATACTCTCTATTTTTGCTTACAATCTCCAGTGCCAGCATATTTAGAAAAAGCAAGTGAAATACTTGACTTTTTTTTTCTAGCAAACTTGGAACAATTTGTTTTTATGTGTAACTCTTATCCCTATAAAAAGCTGTTATTTATGTGGTATAAAATGAGTTGTTCCCTCTGCATGTTTTTGCATATCTAATGTTCCTGTTTTTATTAATTATTTTACTGTAGTGCAGATTCTGGATATACTTTTTTTTTTTTTTTTTTTTTTGAGACAGGCTGGAGTGCAGTGGTGCAATCTCGGCCCTCTCAGGTTCAAGTGATTCTCCTGCCTCAGCCTCCTGAGTAGCTGGGACTACAGGTGCATGCCACCAGGCCTGCCTAATTTTTCTATTTTTAGTAGAAACAGGGTTTCACCATGTTGGCCAGGCTGGTCTCAAACTCCTGATGTCATGTGATCCACCTTCCTCAGTCTCCCAAAGTGCTGTGATTACAGACTTGAGCCACTGTGCCCAGCTTGGATATACTTTTTTATCTGAATAAAAGGTTATTATGCTCTCTAAGCTCTTAAGCTTTGATAAACACCAGTCACTCTTATAGAGTTCTCTTCATTTCTGACATGACACAATATCAAAAATAAGAACTTGATTGAAATATTTTTAGGAATCAGCACATGGAGTTGATCAGAAGAGATGGCTATGTATCTTGTAGAAACTAAGTAAAATAGGCATTTTCCTCACGAACTTCTCTGCAAATTCTTGCTGCATATGGATTACAGCCCAGACCTCTAATTTTAGAGGACCTGTATGCTACTTAGGTTATATTGCTAAAGTATTCATTATATGTTGTAACAGGCCTTCCTTAAAACAAAAGATATTGTTTTTAGATAAATACTGTTATTTTGAGGAAAAAATGTTGAAACTAAGTAGTATCAAAGTTCTTATTCATAAAGGAATTGCTTACTTATCCTGATATGTTTTAATTAAGAGAAAGTATATTGCCGCCTCTTTCAGTATAGACTTCTTATTCAGAAAGCAGTATCTGTTCTGAGTAAAACTATAGTGTTCTTGAGTAATCAAATGTTTGCTGCATTTTGCTAATAATAAAAACATATTAGCAAATTAAAGTAAGATAGCAAATTTAACAGTTGTTAAAAATTCTTACTGTTTACATCTAGAACAAATTACTACTTTCTGGTTATAGAAGAAAAAAAAGACTTAGTAGGGCTGGATACCCACTCAAATTCCATGTAGTGGTTATCTCAGGAGACTTGAAAAACCTGAGCTGCCTACATGGCAAGAACTTATGTTATATCTATTATAGTAAAAAAAAAATGTTAGCTTGAAATAAAATAACAAATTTGTTTAATATTCTCTTTCCTCTTGTCCTTCAGTGGGATCTCAAGGAGATAGTATTGACTGGAAAACTTACAGAAGAGATTGTTGTGGAGAGAATGTGCTAGGGTTATTCTTCGTTTACACTGTCCATTGAATATAAAACTTTCACATAGTAGGGATCAGAACATCAGTGTTTAATATTGCCACTGATTTGATACAAGAATCTCATAGTAGGGAGTTAAATCTTAAAAACAAAACCTCCAGTATCTGCATTTTATTGTATGTAAAAGCTCCCTTCCCCCTACCTACCAAGGCAGCCTTGGTCCTTGGTTTCCATACTGCTGCTTTAACTATTTTAGTCTTTAAATGAAAAAAAAAAAAAAAAAAAAAAAAGCTAAATTCGGGTTTTCTAGTTCACTCTAGTTTGCACATTTAAATATTTCCATTCTTTACAAGAATTATGTGCATTTTAAGCATGGTTGAAATTTGCTGCCTCAACCATAACTTAAAAGAAAAAAAATTGAGATCATTGTAGATTCACATGAGGTTGTAAGAAATAATAAAGAGATCTTGCATACCTTCCACCCAGTCTCCTAAATGATACCATTTGTATACCTACAGTATACTGGATATTCTTCTCCCCCTTTTTAGGAGAGGTTTCAGATTGCCTCATAATCCTGTGGGGATACTATGTGGCTATAGTAAGTGATGACTACACTGAAATAGGAGAATTCGTTTCATGATAACCTGATTTTTTTTTAAATCCGGAGCTGTCCAACTGTCCAAACTGGAGGATTCAGCAGAACAACAATTACACATTTAATTATGCATGAAGTCCCCTTTTCTCTACCTTAAGCATTAGTTTCCTCCCAAAATTCAATGTGGTGGAGGTTAGAAGGCACATCTAGCCCCTCTGCCCTCCCCTGCCTTTGCTTCAAATTAAACACTGATTTTAGCTGTTTTGTAATGTGGAGGTTTCATTTGTAATTTTATTTCAAGAAGAAAAAAAGAATTCTAATGTTTAAACCAAAACTGGATTAATTGAGTAGGCTTTATTAAAGCTAGAGACATGCAGCTTAGGAAGTTAGAAAATATCCACACCAATCATCAAAAGTATATTGCTATCCATCCCTGGGGATTTAATTAGAAAAACAGAGCACACGTAAAAACTTGGAGGGAAAAAATGTGTTATAGAAAGATGTGCCTAGTATAAGATAGTTACTGTTAATTCAGTAATTAAAATCTGGTAATACCAGAAAAAAAGGCACTAACATTTGTATCTTCTCTTGACAGTTTTAATTGATAAAGACCAGAGTCCAAAATGGAAACCAGCTGATCTGAAAGAAGTTACTGATGAATATTTGAATAATTACTTTAAGTCTTTGGGAAGCAATGATTTGAAATTTTGAGGTGACAGGCTTTTAAGGTATATTTTGTAGCATGGGTTGGCAATCTCCAGCACATGGGCCAAATCCAGCCTGCTACCTGTTTTTATATACTCTTCAAGCTAAGAATGGTTTCTGCATTTTTAAATGGTTGGAAAAGAAATCAAAGACTAATGTTTCATGACGTGGAAATTATATGAAATATCACAGTTCACAAATAAAGCTTTATTGGAACTAGCTATACTTATCTGTTTATATATTTTCTGTGGCTGCTTTGAAATGAGTAGTTGCAAGAGAGATGGTAAGGCCCACAAAGCCTAATTATTTACTGTCTGGATTTTGTCAGAAAAAGTTTGCCACTCCCTGTTTTAGAAGATGGAAAAATGAAGGTTTTTAGATACTTTGTTGAGTAGCATATCTAATTGAAATGGGATCTTTATTTTGCTTTTGGTAGTGGCTTCTATCTGGGTTAAATCAACTTAGGTATAGAATATAAAAAAAGACCCTGAAAATTGTTTTGGATACTGTGTTAATACCTCAGAATTTTCTCCATATATGAGTGTGTTTTAAAGTAACAGTTACTGTAGCAGAAGAGCTCCTTTTATAAACATTAGAAATCTTGGGCAAAGAGAAAAGGTTTTTTATGAAGTTCTCTCTTCAGTATTACTCAGCCTTGGTCTTCCCTAAAATAGTACCATACCATGGTGAAAGTGAAAGCTTATTTTCTTGTGATTCGCAGTATTCGTTAATCCAGTAGAATGAGAAATTAGGAAACTACAATTTCCTAGATAGAGACATTCTTTTTTATAATTTACCTAAGACTTTTGTGTGATAATTATCCTTATAAACAAGGTTCAAATCAGGAGGAAAAATATGGAAAGCAAGATGACTTTTGTTCAAAAGATATATTCAATAATTGATATTGTTAATAAGTACTTTTTAAGATATGACAGAACTAAAAGGTATTCCAGACTCAGAACCTTAAAGTTCTAGGCAAGAATAATTTTTAAACTAAAGGTAAGTTTATAACTTATTTTGTAACTTGTTTTAGTTTCTCCTTCATCCCATACTCTTTAGAAACTAGGAGAACTTCAGGTTTGTAAGAACAAAAAGCCAGCAGAACTGAAAAAGACATTAAAGATCATGTCCTGCACCTTCTCATAGATGAAGAAATGGCAGCCCAGAAGGTACTGCTTTGTTTTCTCAATTCTTAATCTGTTTCATGTGAAGCATTTTTCTTTCAAATAATTGCATAACAAATCTAGAATGTAGATGCCATGATAGGCTGGACATGGTGGCTCACGCCTATAATCCCAGCACTTTGGGAGGCCGAAGTGGGTGGATCACAAGGTTAGGAGTTCCAGACCAGCCTGGCTAACATGGTGAACCCTTGTCTCTACTAAAAATACAAAAATTAGCTGGGTGTGATGGTGGGTGCCTGTAATCCCAGCAACTCAGGAGGCTGTAGCAGGAGAATTGTTTGAACACGGGAGGTGGAGGTTGCAGTGAGCCAAGATCGTACCATTCCACTCCAGCCTGGGTGATAGAGTGAGACACCATCTCAAAAAAA